CGGGACCCTAACCCTAACCCTAACCCTAACCCTAACCCTAACCCTAACCCTAACCCTAACCCTAACCCTAACCCTAACCCTAACCCTAACCCTAACCCTAACCCTAACCCTAACCCTAACCCTAACCCTAACCCTAACCCTAACCCTAACCCTAACCCTAACCCTAACCCTAACCCTAACCCTAACCCTAACCCTAACCCTAACCCTAACCCTAACCCTAACCCTAACCCTAACCCTAACCCTAACCCTAACCCTAACCCTAACCCTAACCCTAACCCTAACCCTAACCCTAACCCTAACCCTAACCCTAACCCTAACCCTAACCCTAACCCTTACCCTTACCCTTACCCTTACCCTTACCCTCACCCTCACCCTTACCCTTACCCTTACACCTCAACCTGAGGCTGCCGCCTCACCTAGGGTTAGGAGCTAGGACCTTCCCGCCACTCTCGCACTAGGACTCACCTCAAGGCTGCCGCCTAACCTCTAGGACTCACTTCGACGTTGCCGCCTCACCTAGGGTTAGGAGCTGACGCTGCGGTGGCGGCGGTACTGGAGCGCGTCGTCGGCATGCTGGAGCGGCGCGGCGCCGTCTACTCGGGCTTCCTGCCAGAGGCGAGCACGCCTCCGCCGCCGCCTCCCGCCCCGACGCCCCGTGGCATCGAGGGGTGGGAGGAACGGGCCTTTGTGCGGCGGGTGATGGAGAGCGGCGGGAGCGGCGGCCGCGCCCCTCGCGATCCGCTCGCCACCGAGTACTTGGTGGGCCGCATCCGCGAGCTCGAGAAGCGGGTGGAGGAGCTCGAGTTTAAGGTCAAGGACGCCGAGGACGACAGAAAGTCGGAGAAGGAGATCTCGATTCGGCTGCAGGCCGAGGCGCAGGAGTACTGTCGCAAGTTCGCGATGTCGGCCGAGAACGACCACCATCTCCTCGAGCTGGCCTCGAAATGCGCGGAGAGGATCCACTACGCGTACGTGCAGATGGCGGCGACGGCCTTCAGCAGCGATGCGTTAGACTGTGACGGTCACATCAAGAGCGATTGGCTTGCCGCCCTGGAAGACGTGTCGCACTTTAGCCACCCTGCAGAGTGTGCCCATCAGCGAGGCCTTTGAGCCTGGCTCCAGCTCGTAGCCGGGCTCGCCGAGCGACTCTGCACCGCCTGGCATCAGGACGTGCAAGTAGTAGTGCGGACCCGGCTCAGAGAGCAGGCGGTTGAACATGAGCGTGTACTGCGGCTGCCAGACGCTCATCGCGACCTGGTGGCCGGGAAGCAGGCACCAAGAGTACCGACACAACGGAAGATCGAGGAGCAGGCCGAGCTTCTGAGCGGCCACCTTCTCTGCCGCTGCCTCGACCGCCTCCTCGGCAGGGACGTCCTCGGCGTCTGGTGCGTTGAAGCGAGCACGCAAAGAGGCGACCTGCTTGTTCCGCTGCTCGTCGTTGCCGCCAGAGAGGTCGCCGCCGCCGCCTGCTGCAGTGCCGGCCGCACCGCCACCAACCATGCGCGGCGAAGGCGCACGGCCGAGGCGCAGGGCTGTGGCGGCGCCCAGCAAGAGCAGCATGGTCGACCGCTGAGAGCGAGGTGCGACCGGCGTGCCGAGCCGGCAATGTTTTCTTTTTTCAGCGTTCTTTCTGTTTTTGCAATGATTGAAGAGCGGCCTACGGTGGCTTCACGAAGTCACACCGCTTCTGCTCTCCGGCGGTTCTGTGCTCCCCCGCGGCTCCGCTCTCGCCGCCAACGCGAACGGGTCCACTCCTCGCCGCAAGCTGGACAGCAGCTCCGCCGAGAGCGTGTCCCAGGACAGGAAGCCTGGCGCGGCGAGCGCAGCGCCACTCTCCGTTGAGTAGGCCTCGTGCCACGCCCGCGAGCGGCGGAGGTCGGCGGCGAGCGCTGCCACCGCGCGCGAGGCTATCTCGAGCGCGAGAGCGGTGTGGCCGTACTTTGCTAGGCCGTAGCACGCGAGCGCATTTGCGTTGAGCCACATGGGCCCCCGCCAGTTTGAGTATGGCACGATGGTGTCCGCGTTCGAGTAGCGCGGGTCCGAGGAGCTCGCCGAGCGCAGCCCGACCGCCGACAGCATGTCGGGGCCGGCGAGGCTGGCCGCGATCGCGTCGGCCTGCGACGCGTTCACCGCGCCCGCCCACAGAGGCAGCGCCATGACGTACGTGCGCGCCTCGATCCACTCGCGGCTGCTCGTGTTCCAGGCGGCGTGGTGGCCGAGGTCCTGCCGCCAGAGCCGCGCGTGCAGCGTCGCGGTCAGGTTGGCGGCGGCCGCGCGGTGAGCCGCTGCTGCGGTGCGGTGCGCGCCGCCCCAGTGCTCGCGAAAGAGGGCGGCGGCCGTGTGCTCACGGATCAGCAGCGCCATCACGTCCGCCGAGCCGAGCGTGAGCGCCTGCGAGTCGCTCCAGCAGTTCGAGCGCGCAGAGGGGCAGCGCGAGAGGACGCCGTTGTCCGCGCCGCTCTCGAGCTGGTCGTGCCACACGCGCAGCCCCGTCGCCGGGTCGCGCCGAGGCGGGCGGTCCCAAAAGGCGAGGAGCGCCGCCATCGCCGGCGCGTGGCGCTCAAAGCGGCCCGGGTCGCCGCCCGGCGCCGCGGAAGCGAGCCAGGCGCCCTGAATCAGGACTGGCTTTGCATGCACGAGCGCGTCGCGGGCGGACGGGTCGGAGGAGCAGACGGTCGGCAGACTTGCGGTGAGGCAGCCCGTGACGCTGCCGGTGCTCCGGTTGACGGCGGCGAAGAAGTTGGCCATCGATCCCTCCAGGTACGGGCGCGAGCCGTGCGCGAGCGTCGCCACGCCAAGGAACACGGCATCCCAGTCCCACAACTGCGAATACGGGCCAGAGGGAACGAGGTACGGGAAGCGGAGTTCACCCGACGGTTCGCGCCACGTCTCGTGGGCGCGTGCGGCCGTGTGTGCAGCGCAGAGCTCCGCGTCGTCCGTCAGGTTGAACCGGGCGATGTCCCTCCCGCGGAGGACTGTGCCGTGCGCGCCCGTGGACCCGACAGCGACGACGTCCGCCCGGAAGGTCGCGCCGGGCTCGTACGCGAGCTGCGCCACCGCGGAAGCCACCGAGGACTCGTCCGACGCCCATCCCACACTCACGTGCGCGCGGAACTGATCGAAGACGTTTGGGCTACCGAACCGGCGGACGTCGGCAATCTTTTCGGAGCGCGCCGGCTCGGGCAGCGCATAGACCCACTCCGGCACGCTCTGGTTGGGCGCGGCGAGGCGGTGCGTCGCGTTGACCACGGCGTCCGAGGCGACGCGCGCGCAGGGTGCGCTGACGTTGAGCATCGCGAATTTTCCCGCGGCGTAGGCTCGGCCGAGCGTGACGCGGCAGCGCTGAGTCGCCAGCTGCACGACGGCGGAGCGGAGGGCGCTGACCAGCGCGTCGCTGCGACACTGCCACTCGGTAAGGTATAGAGTGATGTGTGGAGTATGCTTGGTCCCAAAGTCGATCTCGTTGTGCAGCAGCCGCAGCTTCTGATTGACCGCGAGCGCCGCGGCCTTGGCGGCGCCGAGCAGAGGCAGGTGCACGTCCGCTGTGAAGGGAGCGCAGAGGCCGAGCGAAAGCGCCGCGAGGAGCGCCATATGCGCTTGCACAGACTAGCTTGCACAGCTGTGGCGCGCAGAACGAATTTGGAGAGGGGACGCGCCCGCAGGGAAGAGTAGTGCTCCGACTCGAGCGCTGCCGTACGCCCCCCCCCTCGGAGACCGGTGTTACCAGGTACCAGGTTCGTTGTGAAGAGCTGGGGCGCGCCACCCAAGAACCTCGGTGTGCGGATCGGCAACGGCGCGACGCGTCGATTGACGATCTATGCTTTTGACCCATCAGTCTCCCAACATGTGATATTAGTCAAAGAACTCGCTTCACGCGGCGGTCCGCACGTGAGTCCCGCGGCGGCGCGGCGGACGAGAGGCAATGCCTCTCCACACTCCTCGGGAGCACACACACGGACATGAAGCGCGCACGCGGCCCAATGGCCGTGCACGAGCAACAGCGCGAGCGCCGCCAACCGCACCGACACTTTTGACCGCGTGCCGCACTTCCCGAATCCCTTCACACCCCCCACTGTCGCGCAATGTGCCGGCTCGTGTGCGGCTTCTGCCACGCCCACTCGAAAGCGAGCGCATCGCTCTTCGAGGAGAAGCCACACACAACGAGCAGAATGCGCCACGGCCGTCCCGCGGCGGGCGCGCCACCTCCCGAGAGCTCGCCGTTGTGCTGGCGCAGTCGTCGGACAGGGTCGGGGCTCGCGCCGACGTAAGTCCTCCGACCGCTCTCGTCTCGCAGGAAGTAGACGCGCCACGCCGAATCCTACTCCTCCTCCTCCTCCTCCTCAGCCTCGTCGTCGACGAGCGCGTTGCTAACCCATCGAGGTGGGAGCGGCCTGCGGCATACTGAATCCTCCACCAGAGGCGCAAGCCCGCTCGTCCCGACGCTCGAGCGACTCGTCCACCTTCCCAGCCACGCCCTGCACAGCAGCATGGCCATCCTCCTCCTCCTCCTCCTCACTGTAGTTGTCCCACCCGTTGTCGGAGTCGTCGCCACAGCGCTCGAAGCGGCAGCAGAGCTCCTCTTCCTCTGCTTCCTCTGCTAGCAGCTGCGCCAGCACTGCCTCCCACTCAGGGTCGGCAGCAGAGCCAGCATCGCTTTGAGCAGAGCAGCGCATTGCCACGTCCTCGTCGCAGAGCTCCACCGCGGCGAGAGACGTGGTGACAGTGGCGACCGACGTGCCAGTGGCGCGGCTGGCATCGCCAGCAGCGAGGCCGCCAGCATCGCCGCCGCGCACCGCGGCGTGGGGCGCAGGAGCGTGCCGTTCGGCCATCGACCTGATTTTTCACACCGATCCAAATCTCTTTCCACCGAAGCGGCGGCCAGTTTCTAGGAGGGTAAGACTCTGACCTGTTCCGACCTTGATCCGACTGTGATCAGACCGAAGCTGAGTACTGACCTGTTCCGACCGTCATCACTTTAAGCTGAGTACTGACCTGTTCCGACCGTCAGAAGGCCCCCGCACGGGGGGTCCCGGCCGACGTCATGCGCGTCCGCCAAGGGTCCGGGGTCGCCCAGGCAAGTGGCCCAAATCCGATGAGTTTTCCAGGTGTGAACAGCAGCTGAGAGGTGTGAATTCATCCCAGGCAGAAAATTTTGCGTGCTGGGGCACTGAGATCGCAGTTTTATTAGTCCACGTCGGATGCCAGCTGCAGCTGTTTCGAAGATACGCGGTGCCGCATTTGAGCATGAATCAGCGACCTTTCTACTGGCATCACGCATAAGAGAAGCCGAGAGGCACAAGGTCCTCCAAACTCCAATTTGGCGGATCAGCAGCGCGGTCTGGAGCGTGGTTGTGGCGAATGCATTTGCCCCCGCAGTAAGTATGAATGGGCCAACGCCCGAGCTCATACTGCGCTCTGTGCAGCCTTTTCAAGCAGTGAACGGGATCGGCGAAGTTGCGCCACCACTATCGTTCTCCTGCCGTGCAGGCACCGGCACCGGCACCGCCGCTTCTGACACCGCCGCGTCCGCGGCGCCCGCCGCCGACCCGCCGACGGAGTCGCCGCTCACAAGTGCAACACCAGTGCTCGAGATCGGCACGAACGTTGTGATCGCCACGTACGACAGCGCGGGTAGGTTCGACTGGTGGTGCGGCCGCGTGCAGCAGATGCTCTGCAAGTCGGGCGGCAAGAGGGGGAGCTACGTGCGGACCTATCTCCCCGTGCCGTTCTACGAAGCTAAGGCAGCCAACTATAAGATCCACTGCAACTTCTACGCCAAGTCGGGCGCGGACGGCGACTACACCTTCAAGTACAACGTCGACGATTCCGCCCCGTACCACATGGAGTCGGTGCTCGGCCTCCTCGACCTCAACCTCCCCACCGACGAAGGAGTCTATGTGCCGCGCGATCCACAGGCCGGCTGGAAGTTTGACGAGGCGCTTAAACTGATCACGCCGGCCGCGGACTCTGCTCCCCACCGCAAGCGGGCGCGGAGTACCGCCGATGACGAGGCTGGCGCGGCTCCTCTGGCGCGAAGAAGCGCGCCCTGACGGTGACGCTCAGACGCAAGGGCGGGACGTTTGGAATCTCTGTCGACCCCGACAACCACCAAATCACCAACGTGGTCGAGGGTGGTGCTTGCGACACCGCCGGGCTTTGCGTGGGCGACTTCATCGCCGAGGTCAACGGCAAGTCGACGACCGGCAGCTCCTTTGGCAAGCTGCTGCCTGCTGCAGCGACGGCAGAGATTAGGCTGCGGCTCATCCGAGTGCAGGTGGTTGATCCCGGCCATCACATCGTCGCGGGGGGGGCTTAGTATCAGGGGCCCCCGCCCCGCCCCCCCCCCCCCCCAGGATTGAGGCTCCCTTCACGCCGCCGCGAGAGGACCCGGCGGGCCCGGGCGGAAGCTCTGCAGACAGCCAGACCGCTCCGCGCGGTCGGACCGACTTTTTTCAGACTTGACTATTCTGGATACTGAGGGTATGTGCTGCTAGATCTCACTGAGCTGAGCTCATATCTGCCCTCAGTATCCTGTTTTGGGTTAGGGAATGCCTTCAGTATCCTGTTTCCGTGTACGGAGGGCCGCGTCCGGACGCGCATGACGTCGGCCGGGACCCCCCGTGCGGGGGCCTTCGACGGTCATCACTTTAAAGTGATGACGGTCGGAACAGGTCAGTACTCAGCTTCGGTCTGATCAAAAAGAAAGACAGAACGAAAACAGACAACCCAAGGGAGGGATGGGAGGACGGCACGCCGCCACCACACAATGACGGAACACGTACTTCAGCAAAGGAGCGCTATCTTTTTCTTGCGCTGCGGACACAATGCTGGCAAAGGTGGTCGGCGGCGGTTTTTGGCCTCGCGCCGCGCGTTTGCCCACGCGTGCGCTCGCCGGCGCGCCCGGCGCGCTGCCGCACGCGTCGCGGCTACCGGTGCCCTCGCTGCTCCCGGCGGCCGCCGGCGCCCTCTTGCGGCAGCCCGCGCGCGGGCTCCTCTGCCTCAACACCCGGCTTGGGCGGGGGCGGGCGCACCGGTGGGCGATGCTGCGGAACCTCGTCAAGTCCCTCATCGAGCACGAGCGGATCAAGACGACGCACGCGCGCGCGCGCGAGCTGCGGCGAGTCGCCGATCGCGTGATCAACTTTGGCAAGCAGGGCACGGCGCACGCGCGGGTGCAGGCGGGCAAGTATGTCTCCACCCGGCCGGAGCTGGTCAAGCTCTTCACGATCCTCGCGGAGCGATACAAGGACCGGCCCGGCGGCTACACGCGCGTGCTCAAGACGTACCCCCGCATCGGCGACTCCTCGCCGATGTCCTTTGTGGAGCTCGTGGACAGGCCCCTGCACACGCTGCGGACTCCTCCCACGCTGGCCGAGCAGCCGCAGTCGGCGTACCCCGGCCGAGGCGGGCGCAAATGGCGCGCGCACAAGCGCGACATGCGCAGCGAGTGGCACAAGCAGGGGACACCGCGCAACACAGTCGACGCGCGTCGATATGGCTACGAGCCCGGCGCCGACCCGTCTTGACGCAATTAGTCTGATAGATCATAACCATGTCGGCCTTGCAAGCCAGGACGTGTGCTATTGCTCCCACCCCCGCTTCTGTCTTTTCCTCTTGTGCATTCGCTCATTCGCTTGCGAAAATATTGAGATCAGGCCGCGCCGCTCAACGTGTGTCAACCCCGAGGTCAACCCCGCCCCCCCTCGCCCCTGCGCGCCCCGCGCAGGCGCACAGTCCAGTGAGCCGGAACGCGCTCACGAAAGACGAGCGCCTCACCTCCTCCCCGCCTAGCTCCGACTGCCTCCAGAGAGAGAGCGCACACACGCAGAAAGCCGAGCCCTTGGAGTTGGACCGAGAGGCGACGGGGGCCTGCGTGTGGCGTGCGCGACCGCAGGGGGCACTCACTCTCGCTCCGCTCTCTCTCTGGTGGACTGGTGCAATCGCATGGGAGACAAGACGCGTACAGACCACGGTACCTACGTATTATTGCTCCTCCACCTTCCTCTCCACTTACCGTGGATCATGCACCCGCAATATACACACATGCACGGCCACCGCCGGCACATGCTGGCGATACCGCTCGATCTTGAGCGACGTGGGGTCGCCCGCGGCGCAGAGCTCGCGCCGGCCATCGGGAAGCCTTCCCAGCCGCTCGACTCGCAGCCTGAGGCCCGTGGAGACGTGCTCCAGAAGGAGCGGGTCGCCGAGCTGCACGCGCTGCCCCTCTGCGTGGATGCGGAGCCGTGGCGTGATGCGAAGCCACGCGGCCTCGCCCGGCTCCGCCTCGAGCGTCACGCGGCGCGCATCCTTGGAGACGTGTGCCGAGCGCCGCGTGACGGCCAGCAGCGCGCCGCTGTACGCATTGCGCAGCTGGATGACCTGCCCGTACCTCACCTCGCGGCCGGCAGTCCGCTCGAAGGCGGCGGCATTCGCCTCGCGCTCCCTCTCTCGGTCTTCGAAGAGGCGTCTGTGCGCAGGGTCGGCGGCCAGCTCGAGCGCCGACCGGCCGACCGACTCGACCAGCGCCCGGATCTGCTTGGCAGCAGCGTAGTTGTGCTGCTGGCGCACCTCAAAGACGCATTCGCTCGCAAAGCGCGCAGAGGGCGCGGCGCCCTCGCAAGCGCCCATCTGCTCACTCCCCGGGCCGGCGACGCCGAGCAGCGCGCCTTCGCCCTCGCCCTCGCTGAGGTAGATGCGGTCGCCGACGTGCAGCGTGGCCATCGGCCCGCGTTGCCAATTTTTTCGATCTGGCAGTCCACACTGGAACCATCGGCGGGCGGATGGGGACGTTGGCCCGCTGATTTCTGTGTTTATTAGTGCCACGCGCCAGTCCCGTGCCTAACGTCAAGCCAATTCG